ATTTTAAAAATAAGTTACTCCAAAATTCGCTTGAGGATGAAATGGAACTAATGTCTTTAATTTAATTACAAAATTAAATTCAAAGCTTTTAGCTTCCATTTTTGAAACAATAAATACAGACTACATTTGGTATATCAGTAACTGTATTAATTCAAAATGTTTTTTTTAATGAAAGTACTTTAAATTAATTGAAGAAAATAGACTCTGTTACATCTAAACATGATACTGTTTTTGCTCCATTCTAATTGAACACTTTTTCTTATCGATAGCTGGGTATGGCTGCTAGTGTTATTATAATAATAAATTATAGTTTATGGAGAAAGATAAAAAATCATATAGCATTTAAAATATACATCAAATTATTAATATGCAAAGTTTCACCTTTTAAGCAGGTTTGTTCTAGGAATGAAAAGTATTATCATTTCATGCCTCCTGCTACATTTGTCCTGCAAACAATATTTGGTGAACTCGTGTGAGTCCAGGTAAAAAGGGATACAAAACATGGAATTCAAACAAAGAACAGTTAATAAATGTATTAACCAGATATGTTACAGTTGGATAAAAAAAGAAAGTTGTAGTTATGAACAGTTCGATAATATCTTCACTCTGTGTCTCTGAAGGACTTACATGTGTTGCCACTGTGAAAGTCAAAGAGAAAAGAAGCTTTCAAATATCTCACCTCTTGTGATTATCATCAGTGGGTGGTAATCCTGCAAGTTATTAAATAATTAGAAATATATTTCTGAGATGAGGTATTATAATTATTTACATTGTTTGGACTGTTGTAATCATCTTCATTGATATATTCATGATGTTTCAGCCATTGTACACTCTGGCCTCTTCAGGATCTGTCTATATTTCTAAGATGAGGTATTATAACTATTTACATTATTTACATTGTTTGAACTGTTTTTCTTATCTTTATTGTCATTCACGATGTTTCGGCCTTTGTACACTCCAACCTTCTTCAGGATCTGTCTATTTCTAAGATGAAGTATAATAACTATTTACACCATTTATATTGTCTGGACTGTTGTCTTCATCTTCATTGACATATTCATGATGTTTCAGCTGTTGTACACTCTGGCCTTCTTCAGGATCTGTCTATATTTCTGAGATGAGGTATTATAACTATTTAAACTATTTCCACTGTTCGAACTGTTGTCCTCATCTTTATTGTCATATTCATGACGTTTCAGCCTTTGTACACTCCGACCTTCTTCAGGGTCTGTCTATATTTCTGAGATGAGGTATTATAACTATTTACACTATTTCCATTGTTTGAACTGTTTTCCTCATCTTATTGTCATATTCACAACGTTTCAGCTGTTGTACACTCTAGCCTTCTTCAGGATCTGACTATATTTCTGAGATGAAGTATTATAACTATTTACATTATTTCCATTATTCGAACTGTTGTCTTCATCTTTATTGTCATATTCAGAACATTTTGTCTGAAACTTTGTGAATATGGCAAAAAAGATAAGGACAACAGTCCAAAGAATGTAAATAATTACATTCAATCATGTCTCCAAATATAAATAGTGATGATGAGGAACTGATGAGGAAATTAAGGAAGCTGTTAAAAAAACTAAGAAATAAGAAAGCATCACTCAACCTTGAGGCTAAATTTCTGAAAATAGCTTACTTGCTCCTTGACAGTCTGGGCAAAGATGATCCTTCTTTGTACATTGTGGGTTGGCAATACAGAATCACAAACAAAGAACTGTACCAAATAACAGAAACCACATTACCTGAGGACTTCCAACAGCAGCAACAACTAAAATGGATATCACATATAACTTGACGAGAAAATAATGGCATAATCAAGATGTTGACATTCCACGCCACTTCAAACAAAAGGTTTGGAAGGAAACTCCCATCAATAGTGGAAAGAGTGATAACAGCTACTGGAATCAAAAAACCTATTTTCCTGAAAAATTGCTTTAATAGAAAAATTTTATAAATTTGAACAGAAAGCAGTACTAGCTGCCCAGTTAATGAATGTCAAATGTTTCCTTATAAGGAAACAGCTAATATTGCTACTACTATTACCATAAATCGATGTTTTTTGTATGTAGGACCCCCCCCAATACTTGTGAAGTAAAAAGAAAGTAAAGTAAAAGACAAAAGTAAAGAAACAGGGTTGCTCCTCTCAGTTTTTTTTACTCACCCTGGCTGTCCTTAGAAACATCATTAAGAATTCCTTTCTCCCCACTCCAGTATCTACATTCTTTTATTCTTTTGCAAAGTACTCAATTTCAGTGTTTGGATTAGATTTCTATTTGCCTATGCAAATCATGTCACTCTCTCAACATCCTGGCTTGTCTATTGTGTATTCATTCTACTCAAATAAGTCAACCTCAGTTGGTTAATGCAAGGCTCAGGCTCAAACCCCAGGAAATCAATTCTGTTTATGGCTATAAACAATACATGTTGCCATCTGAATTCTTTTCACAATGAGCAAACAACGCCTTCTCTCAACAACTCCTTCATTACAACTTGTTTTTAATTTCTATTAGCCATCAGAGTAAAAAACATTTGAGACAGTCCTGGACCTTCATGCCCACAGAAAAATGGTGTATCAAGCAGATTTCCCTTGACACCACTATTATTTTAACTATATTTGTTGTGGTGGTAACACAATGATTCAACTGATAATAGCAGATAGGAACAAAAAACCTGCGAGGAGGATAACCGATAAAAACCAGTGTCACACGTCCAACCTTCCCACGAGCAAAAAGCTCACTGATCAGAAACAAAAACGCGCCTGCTTTATACAGCTGAGGACCAACCGCGATTTACATATGAATGACGAGACAATGAGATTTCGCTTTAACTGTCAGAGACCGCCTGGCATAAAACATGGGCGCCGCCATTTTGGTTCTTTTACCGTTGAGCAACCAGAGTTTGCACGACGCACAGATTTGCAGGCATTTCCGAGGTAGGCCATTTTCACAATTTTCCCCACATTTGTTCCTCAGTAATGTCTATTGTTTTATAAAGCAATGATTAACATTGAAATAAAACCTAAACATGATAAAATGAAAGTGAATTTATACATTTTCTTTGTTCTTGTGAATTTACAACAAAAATATTAAACACTATTTATTAGATTGTTTATTTACAAAAATAACTTTATATTTACAACATTCTAAAAATTAATACAATTGTATTAAAACTAATGTAATGCAATGTTTATTATTTACCAATTTATAAAGAAATAAATATGAAAACAATTTTTTATTAATCAATTTATAAACATTTATTAAATTATTAAAATATGTGAACCAACTTTAAGGAAATCTTTATTATATTGTAGATCTAGGAAGGCTGCATAAATATTTAAAATTGTGCTGTAAATAAAACATGCAATATCCACAAGCATAAATTATAAAAAAAGGTCAAATGGTAATGATATTCAGTCACAACAAAAAGGATAGGTTTGATGCAACAATATATTTTTTTTTTATATGCAGAATATTACAATTTTGTTTTGTAATGATGTGTGCAAGAGTATATTTAAGAGAAAAAGTTCTTTACTGCTTCAGAAATGTTCAATGCCAAAAGTAAGTAAAAGTTGTCTGCCTTTTACTATAAAGGTTAAATTTTAAATTCGACAAACGTTTTTTCTATGAAAGATATTAAGTGGAAAAGTTTGTAGTGTAAATTTTCCTAATCTCTCATAAAGAAAGTTTGTTCCAAATTGCAGTAGCATAAAATTAAGTTGTTTCTTTGGCGTCTCTCTGACTTGTAATTCCCATGTGTATCCCTTGCATGTGAGAATCTCAAATGCTGAATAAACTTGTAGCTTTAGAAAAGTATTTTAAAAAAAAGTTCTTGTTGCTTGTTTGAAAATGTTTTGTATGTTTGTAATGTAGTTTGGAAAATTTTGTACGTATGTCCATGCAAGAATATATTTTATAAGCATCTGACTGCACATAGTCAATATGCGAATCCTTTAAGGTTATATTTCCATAGAAAAGAGAAAGTATAAGTTTGTGTCTGATATTTATAATTAATGTAATTATGTGACAGGCTCCTAGAAAAATAGTGGGAAAACTTGACTTGGTCACACGCTGGAAAAAGATTTGTACGTGGGTGGATTGCAACGCCCACTTGTGTGTTTATTGACCAATTAAAAGCTGAGATTTCCTGAAAATATGTATGACGCTGGGTAAGCTCTTTGATCCACTTTTTGCACAGATTTGTACAAAATTCAACATTGATAAGAAAGTGGTAGCGGGATGCTAAAATTATTTACCATTCTATAAAGTTCACATCAATTGACAATTAGGTGATCTTTTGTCAACCATTCCAATAAACAATCTAATATAAAAATAGTGTTTATTATTTTTGTTGTAAAGTCTCAAAATCAAAAAAATTGTATAAATTCGCTTCCATATGTTTAGGTTTTATTAAAATTCGAATTATCACTTTTTAAAATAATAAACATTGCTGTGAAGTGAAGGTAGTTGAAATAATAGTGGTGTCACAGGAAAAACCATTCTTTTTTACACTCCATTTTTTGTGGGCACAAACGTTCAACTCTGCCAAATTTTTAATTATTTATTTATTTTACATAAGGGTTCAAACAATATGGGAAATAATATTATTTTACTAGATGTAAACAATATTATTTAACTTGCTCAATAATTATATTAATTACTAATATTAATCAAGATGATGGCAAAAACAAGAATGAAGGAATGCATTCCCACTCTGCAATAAATTATTAGAAAAAGGAATTAATTTCTAAACTCCAAAAAAGAAACGCTTTTGGATTAATAATATAATCAAATAAAAGCAGTAATAGTTATTTCTTGAAGGTCAAACTCAATGATGTTGACAATGCTGTTTATTTATTAGTAAATTAAATAATAGTAATACTTCATAATTAGATTTTTGAGGGTTTTTTTTTTATAAAGAAAAGAAATATACTTGGGGACCGTTCTTTAATTCTGTTGATCAAAATCTTCGCGAGTTATCTCCCTTTGTAGAACTCTCCTTGCCACGTCTTCTTGTCGAGGTTGGAGGTTTTTCGTCGATGACAGTTCCACCTGAAAGTTACCAAGTTTAGTTTGTGCATTTCTCACTTGGATTTATTGTAGACATTTCCTGTTTGCAGCACAATGGTAAATACCTTCTTCTTCTTCTTTTTTTTTTTTTAAATAATCTTTTTTATTTTGTTAAAGGGCGATTTAATTTGTTAACTTTTTAGACACAACGGAATCGTTCACATGCCGCATTTTCTCTTTGTATTGAAAATTTTAGCGTTTTTTTTTGTTGTTAAATTAATAATTGTTTAATAACATTAGAAAAAAAGTTTTCAGATTTCAAGTACTAAATTTTAAATACATTATGACTTGTTGTTTTGTGAAAATGGAAAATTTTATGACTTGTCTTTTTTTAAGTTTGCCCTGAGTTGTTTAAGAGTAAGACAAGATTTATCGACATATTCGTTATCAATAGAATATAGAAACATTTTCTGATCATTATATTCTCATTTGGATATTTTTTGTGCATGTTTAGTTAGCTGGTATACTAATTAGTAAAAACAAAATAAAAAGTACCATCTGTTTTCAATTTTTGAATTGAAACCGGTGTAGTACTTTCTTAGTTTTTTAGACTTTTTCCTCTCCCGAGTCACTTTTTTAATCATTATAAAACTTGAAAAAAAAGAAGATCACGAAGGATGAGTGGCTGTTTTAAAAAAACAGAGCAGATCAAAATATTACTTAAAGCTACGAAGGATAGGAAGTTGTGGAGAGCCATGATTTTGCACATCCTGAAACCACACGGCGCGAAAAAAAATCAAAATACACTAGATTTCCCTACAAAAAAAATAATATAATGCTTCCCTAATCATTTCCTAATGTTGTTTTGATACAGTTTAAAAATTTGTTAAATTCTTAGTGCTTTCTTTTTTATATGCCATGTTCCTTTCAGTTCGTGGGCGATCATGGCTCTCACCAATTTCCTGTAGCTCTAAATAACCTTTGATCCTTTACCATCCCACTTCAGTGTTCAGCCATCCATTCACTCAAATTTGCCAAGACAGTTACAAGCTGTCTCCTTCTCATTCAAGTTGTGTGTGTCAAATTCTCCAATCCTTCTTTCCTCGTCATGTGCCCTAGAAATTCCAGCTGCCTCTTTCTGATTTTCAGTATCTGTTTTCTTGTAGTTCGTATTCTCTTGAAAACTACTTTGTTGCTTATATATTAACTTTCAGTCTATGGCATTCTCAGCGCTTGTCAGTAAGAACCACATCCCCGTCGCTTCAAGTCTCTTCTTCAACTGTGAGGAGATTCTCTAGCATTCACTACCAAATGGGAGATTAGACGTATCAGCAGGATTGGATTATCCTTTAGGCTTGTATAAGCAGCAGGCTTGAGCCCTTCAAACTTTCATAAAGCAATGATTTTGTTTTTAATTGTCTATATGTTAAAAGTTCAACTTTCATAAACCGAATTGATATCAATATGACAAACTCATATTTATTTTGATTGTTTTATTGTTATGCTGGTTATAAAAAAACTTTTTTTTTTTTTTTACTACGGTTGAAATATGTGCTAATTTGGTTTGCAATAAATAAAATAGTGGTATTTCTTAAAGAATATTTTTATTGACAAACAAAAGATAGCTATTTATTTAAAGAATTTGCAATAAGTTTACTTCAAACTATGTAAATATCGTAAATATATTATTAGTAAAAAATATTCAAGATATGTACTGGTGAGTTCTTTTCCTATCACAATGTTCTCTCAAGGTGGCCTCATGCCTTGAATGCCTATGGACTTAAGCTCCAGCCAGATTTTGTTGAAAATGAATTTGACTGAAAAGACCAGCGTGGAGATAGTTAGTGAATGATCGGGTTGCAAAAGAAAATGTCCTTCCTTTGCAACCCTCTCTGCTAGGGTCAAGTAACCACAGTAATAACAGACAGGAACAATAATGACAACTTGTTTTGCTGTCAGCCAAAGAGCACTCGAGTATGAGGTGAAGGAATTCTTATAACATATCTCTGCCTTCACTTCTTCTGCCAATCCAAATGGAAGGCGACTAAAGCGGAGGAGAATGAGGCGTTTTGTCGACATCACCATTCCACTCACATAAGTCTATTCTTCATTATTTCCAACAATTTCAAGTGGAATTTGTACATACAATCAATCAGTAAAGATACTGGAAAAATGGGTTTTTATTTATTAATCCAACATATTTTTATCACTTTAAATGTTATTTCTAGTGGATACCCATATTTGAGTAAACGTTTTGTTTATTTTAAACAGTATTTTATTTTGTGTTCTAGCCTGAACATTCGAGAAATCATATTAAAGAAAATGCAAACCTGTGTTCCACTTGGCAAGAGAAACTCTCATTAGATCTGATGTGCTTTAACCAACTACTGATTTTTAATAAAGAGCAAAAATTTACTTAAATTGATAAAGTACCTGTTCGGTAAATACCTAATTCCTCCTGCTATGCTTTACCTTTGCAAGAGCCAGATCAGGCTTTTTAGAAATTATTAATTTTTACTTGTAAGAAATATATTTTAGACAGTAAAAGTTATTAGTAATTAAATTTTTTAGATAAGATTGAAGACCCTTTATTATTTATTAAGTTGCTGTGATAATTCACATTTAATTCTTATTAAACATCTGTAAGCAAATTTAAAATTTGCATTTATTTTTATTTACTGTCCTGAAGGATTAGGTACTCTTTCTACTTTATGAAAATATATGCCTGAGTTAAACCACAATACATAGGATGATGCCTTTCTGCTTAGAGTATGATTGTTGCAATATTTTTTATATATATATTAGTGTGTCTCTTATTTTTGAAGTGCCTGCTGAAATTGAATTGTCACCCCTAATTTTGTCCCATTCATTGAAAAATGCCAAATATAAAATTTTAATGAGATTGTATAAGATTTAGAGAGTGCCTTTGCTTGTTAAAATTTAAAATATATAAAGTGAACAAAAATATAGACCCCCTTTTTATTTTACAATTAATAGCAAACCATTAGTTGAATCTTTACAAATTATACACATTAGAAAACTAAAAACATTTTTTATCTAATGGTGAAGAATTAAAATTTTAACCAATGTTTATTATTTTCAGACCCCAATTATGATGAGTCGATCCAATGCCAAGTGTAGTTTGGAAATTTTTTTAATGATTTCTGAAGATAACCAAAGTAAAGCAATATGTCAACTGTAGCTAAGGTACTTAAGTGATTTAGATAAAGAAATTGTTCTCTTTATTGTTTAAACTCTTACCCAATATTTTAAATAAAAAGGATATCTAACTTTATTTCATAAGATTGTGTATTCATCCTTTTACTAAACTTTTTATTAATAAATGTACTTTAAGTTTCCCAAACCAATTGTAGGGCTTGAAAATAATGAATTTTAATTATTGTAAGTATTGGAATTGGAAATTTAGAGCAGTATCAGGAATTTTGTCAGAATTGGTAAATATCTTGGTATCGTCCCATCACTAGTATCCATGCAAGCTTAGCTGAGAAAATGTAAACATCGAGTTATGATTGGGTTCACAGCAACCTGTTGTCTTTTGCTGAACTTTCAATGATCAACTGGCTTAGACAGAAGTTAGGAACAGACTGAATTAAAAAAAAAAAATCTTGAAAGTTGAATGTACTATTATCATACTGTTATTAGCGGTATTTAGTGATTGTTTATGAAGTATAAGTAAATGGCTATTAGTACACCAGGTTGTTTGTAACTGTTTATATATAGGAAAAGAAGAAGAATCAGTATTCATAAGAGATCACATGATGAAATGTAAACATAACAATGGTTTCTCTTTTAGAGGGTCATGTGTAGAAAAAACATGATATAGAAATGCTTTTGTTATTTTGTTTATTTTGATTTTTCTAAGGATAACATTTCCAATAATGTCATCTTTATGTAATCAGTAAGCAGTTATTACAGGTATAGGATAAATTCATGAAAATTTGCTATATATATTTTTTTTTTTACCTCATTTTATCTAAAGGTTGCCTTATATCATAAATATATATATATATATATATATTTCAGACTCTCCAATATGTAGCTCATGCTTTAAGTTGTCTCTTTTGAGACCATGAATTCTGTTCTCTTATTAGTTAGGTCTTTCTTTCTTTTTTTTCTTGTGTTCTTCAACTATAGTTTAAATCATTTCATGCCAAGCAAGGCAATAAATTCACTAAGACACAATGGATTTTCTGGTTGCACTATACACAGGTAATTTTTTTTTCTGGAGTGGTTAAGATTCATTTAGGCTATGTAAGTGGCAGGCCCAGGGAAAAGGAGCTACCATAGTCAGACATGAATGAAAACCAAAGTATGGTATTTAAATCTTCATATCCTATATTGTATGGTAAGTGGTTTTTCTTACCATTTTGGAGTAGTTCTTTGTGCAAAAGAAGAAAAAATTTGCTATAAAACATATCCATGATGATGCCCTGTACTACAATATTTGACTCCAGTAGGCCTATTAGTATTTCTCAGAAACTGGGGGTGCATTATACACAAGCTATATGAAAAAATTCTGGCAACACGCTATGCATGAATTTGGCTTATACACCACTATATATGGTAACTGCATTTTCACACTTGACTATCTGGAAAAAAAATAAACAGTTTTAACTATTTTATTTTTATCTACGAACAACATTCCATAAAGAGTAATTTATTTTTTGAAACTTCAGACATTTTCTTCTTTTTTCCTTTTCAGGTGTCTGTAATTAATTCGGTGGATACGGCTCATGAAGACATGATTGTAAGTCTTTAATTTTTATTTAAATTTTTATACCAGTTTTTAAAAGGTTAAGACAAAATCCTTATAGTTTATTGGATTTACAGAAATTTCTGGAGTGTTCCATGTCATCATAGGAGTTTCAGTTGCGCATGTATTAGGAAACACAAGTCACTACTGTATGTTTTCCTGTAGTTCCATTCTGGCTCGGAATAATTAGATCTTATCTATTGTCCAGTAAGAAGGATCTTTTTGCATGATACCACATTGCAGTTCATTGCTAAACATCTGGTCTGTTAGATTCTGTCAGTGACCACACCCAACATCCTGTTGTAAATGTTGACACTGTAACCCTGGCAGGAATAGCTTCAAGTTGCTGTGATTTGCCAAAGAGTGCTGGAATTTAGTGTAAGCATGCCAATATAATGTACATCAGTTTAGCTTTCCTTTCTTAATGATTAATACTCCATGGGGTGGGGTGTGATGGTTAGTGGCTCTGAATGAGAAATTGGAGAGCCAAGTTCAAATTCCAATCGGTTTCATTACTTTCACTTAGGTGCAAATAACCTTGGGAAAGGTATGAATCTATATCCCCCACCCAAGCTAAGGGTTGAACAAGAGGACAGACTGGGTTCTATAGCCTTGGCTGGCAACTAGTCTACCGAAGAAAGAAATGGCAACCTACTGCAGGGAAATCTTCTGCCTAGTCAGTCATGAATTAAGAGACATGATCACCCAAGCATATATTATGTATGGCACTTAACTGACTGAATACCCCCCCCAAATGGGACAGTGGACATTAATGGGTTATAGGTAGAAATGTATAATTAATACCATTTTTTTTTCACAGGCCAATGATTGAGGTAAATAAATGACAAAGTGTAAAAAAATTGTATTATTTCCTTTTGTAGACGGACTTCATTGGATTAATTTAAAGTAAGGTCTATGTTGATGGAATTATATCTGTAAGAAAGATAGGGGAAGATATAAAAACGCAGGTAATTTACATTCAGTTTCTAACAACATTCCACCTTTCTTGACAAGTCTTCTATTATTACAGTGTGGAACACTTAATAAAAGCCATAAAAACAGAGATGGAGGCATAAGGAAACTGAATGAAATCAGCTAGACCAGGGGTCGGCAACCTTTTGTTAATTTATTTGCTGACTTAGGGTTTTAAAATCATTCAGTGTGCCAATAGTATACATATTTTTATAAAAGTCAAGGTCAATATACCTGTTCTACAATATATTTTATATAGGTACCTCCACGAGATCGCTAAAAAAAAAGAGCATAGCATGATGAAAAAGACGCCAAACTTGACGAAAACAAAATTTTATCGTCTAAATGTTTGTTATTATTAAGAGGAAAGGTCAAAGTATTTTTGGGGTATTTTTTTCCATTTTTTAATCGTTCCTAGCACATCCGAAATTTTCGTTAAAAATCTAGTTTTTTTTTGAGTCAGCAAAATTGACCATTTTTTTCCATTTTAAAAAAAACTGGAAATCTGACTTTGAAATTTTTTTAAATATCAATTATCATTTTTTCAAAACTTATTTTAAGAAAATCAGAAATTATAATGTTTATTTAAAATATTTTGAACCAAACTTAACTTAGCTTTTGTGCCAAAAAGATGTAATTTGAAAAATAAAACAAAGCAGGTCATAAACTTTCGCGTCTCTTGACATGTGATGAATGATATATTTCGAATTCCATGAGGCTAATTTGTTCTCTGGAAGGAGAAAAGTGAAATAATTTACATTTACGTGAACAAATTATTTACCCGTTATTTTAATGAAAACTTTCAGCGGTCTAATTTTTTTTTATTTTTTTTTTTTTTGTACTTAGCTTTCACCTTTACGTTTATGATGCTTTATGGGAAATATATTGTAAAGAAATTAAAATAAAACTGTTAAGAGTGACATTAAATTTCATATTTCTTAAGAAAGGTATCTAATTAATTTATAGGTACCTTTCTTATGAAATTTTATCAGAATTGTACATAAAATACTATAATTTTATGTACATTTATTACATTCTACTGTTATTTGTATTTGCATTCATTTTATTATTAATTTTGATATTTCATTTATGGAAAAATGTCGTAACTGAGATTAATATAAAAATAAGCTCATATAAATTTCATAAGATGAAACTGATACTTGTAGGTACCCTTCTCAGTTGAAATTGAAAAATCAAATTAACTTCTCCACACGTGTTTACATAAAAAGTAAGGGCCTTAAAGCAGAGAACAATGCTTAACTCAAATAACGCATCTTAATTATATTCTGGTTGGTCTTCCGTATTTTATAATTACAGCTCGATTATAAGCACAAAATTACATTTCTTAATTACTGGGGATCTTCTGATTAGTCAAAATGATACAATTTACAACGCGCTAAAAAAAGATCAAAAAAGGACACTTATGAAAGCTGATGCGGCTTTTAACTAATTTTATAATATTTTAACAACTTAAATGTAAAATCTATTATAATTAATGAAATAACAAATAATTGTATTAAAAATTCATTTTTCATCGAAAAAATTTTTTTGCTTTCAGAAAATATTGTCCATATTCATAAAAACAACTAAAAGCAAATAAAAGCATTTGAAATTAAATAATATATTTGTTTTATTGAGTTTTGTATGTTACAATTCAGAGCTGATTTTCAGGTACTGCGTATCCAATTAAAAACAAAAAAAACATGATTTGCATTCCTCAAAGCCCTGTGCTTTTAATTATTGTAATCACTAAAACCGATGCGATCAATTTCTAGCGTTTTTCATAAAATTAGTTATGGGGGGTAATAAATATTTTAAAAAATATTTCTACCATGACTTTCATAAAAAAAACATATTTATAATAATTTCGATCATCTGTGAATAGTTCCTGAAAGTTTCATTAACATCCGATAATTATTTCTATTTTTGCACAATTTTTTCAAATTAATGTGTCATACCAAAAAAACGTGCTAAAATTGTCTATGTTATTTACTAGTTCCGCTGATACAAATAGAAAAAAGGTTTTTTAATCAAAATTTAGAATGTTCTAAAAGAAGGAAAATTTTTTAAAAATAATTAAAAAAACTTTGGTCTTTCCTCTTAATAATAACATAAGCATTTAGACAATAAAATTTAGTTTTCGGCAAGGTTGGCGTCTTTTTCATCAAGCTATGCTCTTTTTTTAGTGATTTCGTGGAGGTACCTAACTAAACATTATTGTAACTGATCTATTTCTCATCACTTGTCACAATTTGCTTAAAAAAGGGTGCATTTTTATTGAATTTATACAGAAAATCACAAATGAAATGTGATCCAAAAGATTCTTTTTTCACCCAATCATCGGAGCGATTTGAGTACCCAATCATGGATGGTAGATTTTGATAAAATTAGTGTTTCTGCCAATTCCAGCATTGTTCAATGCAGGTTACTCTCAATCTGTGTCTTAATTTGGTCATCATTTTTAGTGTGTGTGTGTGGGGGGGGCTGTCTGAGCGTTCTTCATGGATAAGGGCTATTTTGTCCTTGTAAACTTTGAAATTTTCATTTTCATAGGGATGAAAAATTGATTGCTTGTGAATATATTTGCCTTTTGGTAAAAAAAAAAAAGCATCAAGTGTCTAAAACACACCTTATAATTTTTCATTTTCATAGGGATGAAAAATTGACACGGAATAAGTAATTTTGAACTTTCTTTCTCAAGATATAGCTTGAAGTGTGCTCTAATCAGCAATGTAAGCAGATTAGATTTGTCGATAAATTTGACTCTGAACATAAATGACTAAAATTGGCATGAATTTTCTAGACAACCCAATATTATCCCACTTAGTATGACTATTTCGAAGACTTTCTGTAGAAATATTAATGTCTGACATATGGTATGAACACACCAGTTGGTCCCTTGAAAACTAATGTTTGAATACTGGCTACTTACAGGATATATAGTTTGTTGGTTGATTTTGTTTAGCGGCATATCAACACCTCTATGGGTTATTTAATGCTGAAATCTAAATATTTTCAACACAATTTTATGACTTCAATTAATTATATTTTGAATGCAATTGTATTCCTTCAATTACAGATAAAATGTATTGTTGGTCATTTTACTATAAATATGTATTATTGGTTGGTTGATTTTAGCAGCATATTAACACCTCTATGGGTCATTTAATGCTGAAATCTAAATATTTTGTACATAATTTTATACTTTCAGGTCAAATGTATGATTTTTAGATATATAATTTGTAAACTTTTATTTTTTTGGATTTAAATTCATCCCAAGCAAGGTGGCAGTAAAACTACTAAGGCACAAGGGGTTACTGGGTGTGAAAGAAATTGTTACCATAGAACTTATGGTTACATCTAGCCAAATTCAAACAATAAAAAATCAATTGTTGGTATATTTTTTTTTATAAAAATTTATTGCTGGTCATTTTATTATAAATATGTATTTTTGTACTTTTTTAGTATTGTATTGATTGTCATTTTGCTATAAAAATATAGTTTTGCTTATTTTACTATCAAAATGTATTACTGGTCATTTTCTTATAAAATGTATTGTTGGTAATTCTACTATAAAATGTATTGTGGATCATTTTGCTATAAAAATGTATTTATTACTTTTATTAGAAAAATGTATTTTTATAATTTCTTAGTGCTTTGATTTTTGTTTGAGGGAGTTTACAACAGTAATTAAAAGTTTCTTTAAACTGCAATTAAGCTTTTAATCAAATTTTCTTGTTTGTATAAATGTTTTCTGGGCATAAAATCTGTAAAAAAATTGTTTGAATGTTCTATATATCCAAATTTGAGAGAACCAATATAATTTATGAATTCATGTTCCTTAAGGAACTGTGTTCCTGATCAGACCACATTCATGAATAATTATATAGGACATACAACAACATGCCTATCAAGAAGACTCACATTGCATCTCTCTGACCACAGCACTATTAGGACTCACAGAAAACAACCAAACTCCGCCTGCCAAATACAGCTATAATATAAAAATGGAAGCATTAATAATAAAAAAAGAAAAAGCCAACACTCAATAACATCAACTATGAACAGGGTCACAATGTACTGACTGTTTAAAAAAAACTAAAAAAAAAACATTCCTATAACTTTAGAGATATACATAAAATCTATACATTCGGGTTATAAAATAAAAATGAAAATCCTCCCTGATAATGGAATATCCAAAAGCACTTGTATGTATGGAACATTCAGACAATTTTTACATACTTTAGGCCATGAAAAGAATACACTTAAATACAAACATAAGAAAAATTCAATAAAAAGCTCAATCGCAGTACCTTTTCAGTCGTCCTTAATGAAACTTGTATAAAAGAGGGATTGCTGCCCATATATATATATATATATATATATATATATATATATATATATATAGCCTGACATGAACTGGAAAGACTATATTGGTAATTGTTTGGATGAGCTCTTTGCTATGGTATCAAGGCTTTTTGAATTCAAGTGCAATACTAGACTGGCATTGGTATGTCATCAGTTTACAGTTAAGCTGGCTAGATGTAGCCCTAAATTCTATGTTGGAAGTTTCTTTTCTTGTACTTTTTGATTGTGGAACTATTTTCTGGCTCCATGCTTTCCAGCCAACTTTAATCTTCAAAAATTTAAATGCAATGTCAGTCGCTATCTACTGTCCTCCTGATTACTCTTCTTTCGTTCTCGCTACTTAGTAGTGTTTCTTTTTCTAATTTACCCACACCTTGTCTCAGTGGCTTTACTACCTTGATTGGAGCGAACTTGAGATATAGATATATATATATATATATATATATATATATAAGATGTGTGGGTGTGCATTTACAACCACCAGTGGCTCCCAAGGGTTCCTTCTACCCCATTTCACGTACAAGGCTTGGGTCAACCAGTGGTATGGTTTTCAGGCACTTTTCAAAGGTGCCACACACTGTGATCACCTCCTCCAGGTCAATAACACCAAGAAACCACCTTCTTGACAAATCAACCATGGTGAGGTCAGAGCACAGGTTTTATGGTCAAAAAGCTCTAACCACTTGCCCACATCCTCATATATATATATATATATATATATATATATATATATATATATATATATAATTTGTCACTTAACTAATAGATGTTACATTCAGCAATCTGACTCCAGAGTTTTGTAGTCGGGCCTTTTTTTAATCATTCAGCCCATTTGTCAGGAGGTTTCAGCAATTACACACACATAACATATAGCTAAATAAATGTTCAAATTACATATCTTCCAACTTGGAAGAGACACTGTTCTGCTTTCCAAGGTAAGATGAATCCATTCATTAAGAGATTTCTTAATGAATTCAATACATTTACCTTACAAACAGAATGATGTCTTTGAGAAACTTCAGGTTAGAAGATAAGTCATTTGTACTTTTATTTATCTTTTGACTAAGAAATGAAGAAAATGATTCTGCACCTGATTAGATAGGAATTGACATTCCAAATCAACCCCCTGATACACCTGGCTACTCTGATGCTCTAGTGTGACACTGAATGCAAAATCTACTTTAGTATCTCTTAATATAGTACACAGTTTAAAATAAAAATGGGGCATTTATTTCAAGCTTTTTGAAGTAATAGAAATGTTGGATTTAAAATAAATCCATTAATTCTTTAGAAATTGCTGTCTCATTCACTTTATATATATATATATATATAATCAAGTTAAAAGTTTTAAAATCTGAAATTTGCATTGTATGGATACTTTTTTCACTGATTAAAATGGATACATGGAATTTATTTCTATTAGATGAAATTTATTTCTGTTTTCTATGTATATTTAGTTATTATACATCTGTGTACAGTTAATTATATGAAAAGTATGTTTATTCATTAGTTGGGAATACAATAAATTAAAAATTTGTATGTGTACGAATATTTATCCCCCCCCCCCCAACTGTATTATTTATAAAAAAAGAGGTGTGTAGGATGCAAGCAGATATTGACATCAAATTTTGGCCTGTGTGTCTTATACAAATGAATCTTGCTCTCAGCCAATGAGAGAAATCGGAATTCAGTTTAAAATTGATATATTCATTAAATTTTTTTGATAGAATTTTTTTTTTTTTTTTAACTAATGATTGTTTAATCATTTTCCAGTAATTTTTTTTACAGTAAAGTTTATTTGTTCAAGTTATGATGATTAAATTTATTTTCCATTCCTTTATCCAGCATGATGCCCAAATGGACTATTATGGCAATAGACTGGCCACATGTTCATCAGACAAGTCGGTGAAGATATTTGATATCAGAAATGGCAGCCAAACATTGCAAGCAGATTTAAAAGCGTGAGTTTTTTTTTTTTTTGTCTGTGACAATATTTTCCTTATTTTCGATCCAGTTTAATTTACCATTTATTCCAACTTCTTTTAATTCTACTCATCCTTTTAAGAACGGCATGGATTAATTCTAATTTTTCTGGTTCTTTCTGTTTCATTCTCTGTGTTTTATTATGTTGATATGACATAACAGTTCAGTACTTTTCTTTGTTTCTAATGAAATTCTGCTATTAATGTTTTAAAAAACTATATATAAAATTCTGTGACTTCCATTAGTCTGTCCATTGCAACCTCTAAAATAGCGATATGTTGACTGATCAAAACCAAATTTTGGGAAGAAGTGCAAATAGGTAAGTGGGTACAAAGTACAGTTGGTTTTACTAGAGTGCATAGCTCAGTACAATAAATTTTCATTAATTTTTTTTTTTTTTTTTGAAAAATTAAAAGTTTTATTATTTAACATACAAAATACTTCCACTATTTTAAAAACATTATTAATTTAATGATTAAAATAACAAATACATATTTAATAAAAATACAATATTGCTTTTTTGCATATCATTTTTTAAGTTTTTATATATACAAGAATCCAGTTTACAGCTCACCCTGCGTTTGCAAGAACTATAAACAAAGCATTAAGACCAAACACTCCAAAAAGTTGGAATTTGGCTCCACAAAGAAATATTTACACATGGCCAGTTGTATGTTGCATGCTCAAGAGTAAGAAATTCTAAGAATTCATTCTTTGCTATTAAAAAGGAAAAAAGAAATTTTCTTAAAAGGTCACTTAATTCCCAGACTGCAACCTCCTTGATTATATGTGTGGGGCGCAGTTGAGCAAAAGAGCAACAAAATTCTTTGTAACACTAAAAATGAACTGAAGGCAAGTATTATGGCATCATTCAACTTAAACAAGGAGACTGTCCAGAAGAGTTGCAGGAGATTTCGAAGTCATCTGGAGGTTGTGATTGAAGCCAATGGTGATTTTATTGAATAAATTTACTCTTTAGTATTTCAAGATATTTTTTATGAAATTTTGGTAAATATATCTGCTAAAATGAGATGTCGGTGTTATTTTCATTTTTGCCTATTATAGACGACAATTTATCCATCGCACCGTGTATGAATTCATCTCTTATCCTCCCAGCTATGGGTTAAATAATAGGAATTGTATCTGGAAATATCATTCTTAATCCCTAAAAAAATTCTTAATGTAATATTCGCTCGTAAAAAAAAAAAAAGAATTATTTTTATAATCTAAAATATGTTTTGGCTTTAAATAAACCCAAAAAGGGGTTAATAAACTGTAAAAAGCCAATCAATCAAAACCAAAGTACATTTGTCTTTCAGAGTGTGAGATGAAGATAATAGTTTTCTATCACAGTTGTTAGATTTGTATAAAATGTACATTTTTATTTGCAGCCATGAGGGGCCTGTGTGGCAACTGGCCTGGGCACATCCCATGTTTGGTTGCCTTTTAGCTTCATGCAGCTACGACCGAAGAGTTATCATTTGGAAAGAGACAAATGGAACCTGGATAAAACTTCATGAATATTCCAATCATGATTCTTCAGGTAAGCATCCAGTTCACACTCTTCCCCTGTCTTTTGAATAGACTGGAGGTTTATCCTTTGTTCCCTGTTTAAGGTTGGGTTTCCAGTTCCATCTAAAGTCTGTTCATTCACTTATGCTTTCCCATTCATAACAATGTTAACTTCTTTAAGTCTAAGGTTAACCATCACCTTTCCTACATCACTTCACTTCTTGCCCTTTCTTTATGCTTATGCAACACCATACAGTGACCTTCTTTCTTGTGTGGCTCTTGGGCCTTGTATTGGGGGAACATTAACAAAAAAAAATTAAACAAAAGTTAAACACACAGAATTTGTCACTTTCATTTTGTTGTATCGTCAAGGTGAATGATATACAGAGAAGAATGAGTGCTAAATATATTTATTCAGCACCAGTATCAGGTGTTAACGGATACATGAAAAACACAGAACAATAAATTAGAAAACAATTAACAAGACAACTTACAAGGAATTGAGGAGGGTCAAATGCTGTATAGCCAAACAAAGTAAGATCAGTCCAAATATTAATCAGCTTAATATCAACTTATTAATCAACTGTTGAAGTCCTTAATTGTAGATTATTTAAGGCTATGAGCCAGGCCATCTGGTAGAGTGCTGAAGGGGTACTAGCTATTCTACAACACATTTGATCCAGTTCTCATTATAATTCATGATAATGTTGTCTGAACTGAACCACAAATGTTACCGTGAACCTTTACAAATAGCAAAAATAGACAACTATAGCATGAATAGATAAAATGTTAAAATTGGATTACCTCCCTTAGATAACAAAGCTGCATTCCAGAAGTTTTTTTCAGTAGAGACATTATTTTAAAATAAATACAAAACTCAAATCTCCTTCAAAGTCGGATCCTCTGACTCCAATGCATTTGTTGTCATACTTCAGCCACTCCACAAAGCGTCCCATGGAAGCCATCCAAAGTGAAGTTATCCAAGACTCTTATCACAGCTTCCTTCATTTCAATGTCTTCAAAACGACTGCTCCCAAGTTCTTCCTTCAACTTGGAGAGAAAATGAAAGTTCCAAACTCTAGGAAGGGTGAGGACTGTTTTGATGCCCATCAACCATCTCTCTGCTGTCACCAATGTGTCTTTCCTTCTGTTTGTCACTGAACACCCTGGGTGCAAACTTTGCACATGTTCAGAATTTCATGAATGATTCTGGGTAGAGTTATCACATCAACCTCAAACTGTATGCTTATTGTCTTCATAGATACATGTCAGGTCTTCGTCCAGAAAATTGGGAATTTTCTTAATCAGCTTTTATGCTCTTTTCTTCTCACATTTTTGATTGTTTCTCACCCCCCCTCTCTACTATCCTTGAACCTCTTGTGTCAATGAAAAACAGATGTTTGGCTCGTACAAGTTAATGCATAAACAGGCTGAAGGATTTCATAAGCTTCTCTAGTGTTTTTGCCCAGTTTAACACGAAACTTTACTGGATAGCAAGCTTCCAAATTGTGTTTGTCCCAATTGCATTCTTCAAACTAGTCAAAGAGCAGTTACAGCCGTTTCTTTTAGTCTGGAATAACAAAAGTTGGCATGTCAGCTTATTAGACTATTAGTAATGACATACTAAAGTCACAATAATCTAGGACAATTATAACTGCCTCTCCTATAAGTCTCAAATCTTCTGGATTGCACCACATACATCATCACCACTATAGACATATGGCATTAGTTTAAAAAGGTGTGCCAATTTAAAAAAAAAAAAAAAATACCGAAACCAATTATGTAGCACTTATTTTGATTAACTGCATTACTTACAATGATTACTTTGCTACTTATTTCAATGTAAAAAAAAAAAAAATACAGTCTTAATTGGCAATAATATAAGTGACAAATAGTTATAAGAAGGCACTGCTGATTGTTTTTCAGCTAATTTGTTTAAATAATGCACTGGCTATTTTTTTGTATCATTTGGCAATAATTATAAGTAAAATGATGCACTAAAATAAGTAACCAAGTAATTGTTTTAAGTTTTGAATATCAGTACTTTTCAAAAATCTCTCCTCCCTGCTCATCTGCTGCTGATTGAGTTAGTTGCTTCTCCGTAATGTGCATGCTCTCTCACAGACACACACACTCACCATGTCCAACATAATAGTAATTTTTGTATAAATATAGATACCTCAAAAAAGGAAAGAAAGGTAATATAAAGGTATATATATATATATATATATATTTTTTTTTACCAAGATTTTCTAAACAATCATTTAAAAAAAATAATTTAATTCATTTCTGAATAAGTCCAGAAAGTTTCATCACCTGATTTTTGCAAGAATTTCCAAATCAATGTGTTTTTTTTTTATTGCATACAAATTTATAGTCCCACATTGATGCCAGAAAAATGAGATTTTTAACTAAAATTTTCAAGCTTTTAAAAAGGATAAAAAACAAATTTACATAAAAAAATTCTTTGATCTTTCATCTTAAAAGGTTTTAACGATAAATTTTGTTTCTGTTCATTTTTTTTCATCATATATACTCATTTTTCACAAATTTTTGGAGATACTTATATTATAAATATATTTTTATTTCAACAGAAACATTCTCATGTAGAAAATTGTAGTTACTACTTCTTTTTAATTAACTGAAAAGAAGTGATTGCAACGATGTTAATTATAATTTGTGATTACACAGTTTTTTTTCCATTTTCTCCATGAAACAAACATAAAACAATTAAATTTAAGAATATTCTTTACCTGATGTATTTTCTAAAAATCTGAATAAACTGGATTCGTTACGTAAAGGGAGATAAGTCTGTAAAGTTCAATTGTATCTTTTGATCAAAACGACCAGTTTTAGCAAAGATGAAGTAAATCAGATTTGTTGTATTTTTTTACGATAATATTATAAATTCTATATTTGTTATGTTCTGAATTTAATGAATCTGTTAGTTTATAGTCCACAGAAAATAGATACACACATTTTTTAAAAATTTTTTGCTCTCTTTTTCTACCTCATTTCCTTTTCTTTATAGAATATATTATGGGAACTATTGTCTTTCTCTCTCTCTCTCTCTGCCCCTTTTCCTTTTCTCTCTCTGCCCCTTTTCCTTTTCTCTCTCTGCCCCTTTTCCTTCTCTTTGCTCCCCTTCCTCTCTGTTTCTCTCTCTGCCACCTTCCTCCTCCCTGTATGATTAGCTGTTGTATTTAACCAAATTCTGTTTTGTTTTCAGTGAACTCTGTCTGTTTTGCTCCTCATGAATTTGGTTTGATGTTAGCATGTGCCAGTTCAGATGGTTCCATCTCAATCATTTCTAGTACAGGTAAGTTTAAAAAAAAAAAAAAAAAAAAAAAAAAAAAAAAAAAAAGGCCCCACCAAAAACTTATTTGCCACTGCAAAGTTATCTTAAACCTATAGGATGTGCAGGTGGTGTAATGGATATCAGCTCCAAATGAGAAATTGGAGAGCCCAGTTTGAATTCAAGTTGTGTTTGTTACAATAACAGCCATGATATGTCTCCCATACACAGAGGTACTGCAGCATTAAAAGAATACATCTTGGGTCTGTTCACAGGTTTCACATTGTCAACAATAATAAAACAGCTCTGAACACATCACTAGATAATTTTTATTGTTTAGCCATGATAACAATCACTTAAATGCATTTGCCATAGTTGAAGTTACGTGAAATTGAAAAAGTCCTTCAGTGTTGAGTAGTGTTTCAATATTAAAACCATTTCAATATAGAAGACCCAAAAGTGCTATTCCCATAAAAGTATCACCTGGGACAGACTACCATCCCTCTAGCTATGCTTCTGACTTGAAGTTATCACAAATATCAGTCATAAGATGAAGATTAGCCCCCAAATTAATATTTATTTCCCTTTAATTCTGCATAATCTTGGTTTTTCTTTTTATCTCCTTTTTTTTTTTTGTAGGTGATGGTACATGGGACGCCAAGAAGATAACCAATGCTCATTCAGTAAGTGTAGCCATTATTTCTTTTTTTTTTTTCTTTCATAAACTCTGTAATGAAATTGTCAAATGCAGATGACACTGTGTTCATGCCAGACAAAAGGAGAAGAAATGACTAACCATTAACTGTTAAAAGATAGACTATATGTTTGTCTGTAAAATAGTCAAAAGTCCGTGCTTTGAACTGAAGACATCAGAATCAAGTAGGTACAGAAGTTTGTGGATAGAGTAATAAAAGGCGATAGTGTACAGAGATCCAAAAGGATATCAGATAAGCAAAAGGTGCCTTCTAGAAACTAAGCAAAGTATTAGGACATAGGGATATTTTGTTAGATATGAAAAGAATGCTTAACTGCTATATCAGATTTCTCCTCCTCTGTGGCGGTGAATGCTGGACAATTTTGTTACAGGAGTGATATGTAGTCCTACAGAGGAGGTTTTTTTTTTTTTTCACTAATGTTCACCCAATTCAAGGCCCGAGAGCCACTCAAGGTAGAGGGTTACTGAGTTTGTATTAGTGTAAGAAAAAGCAAGAAGGGAAGTTCTTGGGCTTATGCAGTAAAGATAACGGCTAACTCTATACTTGAAGAGGTCAAGATTTAATTAGTGAATAACATTTCAGAGTTCACGTGGAGATGTTAGAAGTATAGAGTTGAAGTAGACTTTAGAAGGAACTGGAAACCAAATCCTAAACAGGAAAACAAGGGATAAAACTCTACTGTTCAAAAGACTGGAGGAGGAGTGTGAATGCTGAGGATACTATAGACAGGACATGTAAGCAATAAGGAAGTTCTGAAGAAAATTCCAAGACACATTATAAGGAAGGAATACTTGGAAAATTTAATACTCACACGGTGTATTGAGAGATGGGTAGTTTGAAAGAGACAGCAGCTTACAAGTTTGTGTGAATGGATGGCAGAACAGGGACAAGAAGGAATGGTAAAGAGTTAAAGGATGTTGTGGAGAGCCATGATCACCTATATCCAGAAGGGACACCGCACATAAATGATGATAATAATTTTTTTTTTTTTTCTTTTACAGTGCTGCGTTTCTTGCCCATCATATCTTAGCAATATGTTTAGGTATTGGATAGATGCAGTGAAATATGACAGGTAAACAAACTGCAGTTTGCAAGCTGCACACAGCTCTTTGACATTTAACCCTTTGAGCTTGCGTTTCTGAACAATTTTAACCCTTCTACCTGCGATCCTGAGTCAAAATGCTCAAATAATTGGTATGTAATGTTTGACGGTAGATATAAAAATAATTTCAAGTGTTTACCCATTGTTCAACAAGTGGCTGGGCATTAAGTCACTTTTCTCTACCACCGGTAAAGCCGTGACTAGGGCTCGAAGGGTTAATGTGCAGCTCATGGAAGTATGTTCATCCAGATCCTTTTCTCTTAAATATATAAATAAAATGATAAGGAAAACGATCAGTCATTTTAATTATTTAATATTCATGATCAGTAAAAACATTCAAGGATTTACATATTTTTTTAATAATCATATAAGGAGAAAAGCTCATCAGAACAATTGTCATGAAAATATTTCTAGAAAAGACAGAGAGAAGCCATGTAATATTGTGAGAGAGTAATTGAAGTCAAAATGCCAAATCGGGATCAGTTACATTACAGACCCTTTTTTGAATTTTGTCAAGAATCTTGAGATATATAGCAGGAGTACAAGACCAGATATGGCAGCAATATTAAATGCACAGAAAATGGTAGATTTATAAATGTGAAAGATGAATTATGGCAAGAAAACTTGTCTGGCATAACACAATAAACCAACTTTCCTAGCAGCAGACCAAGAAATAGATTCAATATAATCACCCCAACAGTAGAAAAGTATTGGAAATCCTGAGGGACACTATGTATGAAAAGAAAAATACAATATCTCAATATCTCTTTTTATTTTACTTATTTTGTCTTTGAGATATATATATATATATAAAAAAGGCTTAAACACTAATATTCTATGGTTATAATTTATTACATTGGAATACAATCCAATTTGTAGGTCTGGTGAATTGGATTGTACTTACAATTCCAATGTAATAAATTATAACCCATGGAATAGTGTTTAAGCCTTTTTATTATATTCTTACTTTGTCCTGGACATTGAGGTCTACCTGGATTCTATCCTCTTGGAAATTTTTACATCTATTTTTGTATATATATATATATATATATATATATATATATATATATATATATATGTGTGTATATTAACCACTAATATTATATATATATATATATATATATATATATATATATATATATATGACATTAATTTGCTGTACTGCTCCAAAATCTATGACCTCCTCACTCCTGTTGAAGGAACCCCTCACTCCTGTTGGAGGAACCCCTCCCTGATTAACATATGTCTTTAGTGGGGTGCAGCTGTACTCACCACACTTAGCTAATTGCAGGTTGATGAGACTATTTAACTCTTTAGTTGGTGTGAATGACTGTTGATTCTGTGGAGATCAGGGTTTGGTGAGGGAGCCAGTTTAGTTGTCAACCCCTTGATATTATAAGTGAAAATCTTGTGTGTACTACTGCTGAAAATATGGGTGTTATATTTATCGTACTGTCAAGTCAAAAAAGGCATCAAGCTCCAACAGATTATAAGCACAGCATGATTTCATTTCAACCTATTGTTTGATTGTAACAAAAGCAAATATGAGTTATGAGAAGTCAAATTCTTTGATTATATATGACTTCAAAGGTTGCACAGTGTTATATTACTGATACAAGATTATCCAAAAATTTAAAATTACAGTAAAAGACTTTAAAGAATTGGTTTAGTGTCTGGACAATGGATTTCTTTCCTTAGTTATTCCTGATGCTAAAAACTATTGTTTTTATAATCATTTCACCACAAGATAGGTGATAATACCACTATGATGTAAGGGGATACTGGGAGTGAAAGAGAATGTGAAGAAGACTTTAGTGAGGAGAAAGGACAATAAACGAACACAGTTCAGGAAGACAAAAGATGGCAATTGGTGTTACATTTAAATTTTTGAAGATTGTAAGTGACAGGGAAGCAAGAAATTGGAAAGGACTTCCACAGGTGAGAAAAGAAACTATGAGGACAGAACATACAGTTGAATCTAACTAGTTTAACAGTAAAACAGTGAGACCTAATTGCCAATCTAGCAGCACACTTAAATTCATGCATTTGATCAATCAAGGACGAAAGCGCATCAGAACAATTGCCATGAAAATATTTGTAGAAAAGTCAGAGGAAACCATGTCACATTTGTGAGAAAGTTATCTTGTGCTTGGCATTTTCTGATAAGATTTTATCTGTGAGTACCAGCAATTAATTTGTTTGCAGTTTAATCTGAAAACAATTGTTTTCTTTATTTTTATTCTCACACACTAATGTCCATTTGTAAGATGTTTGGCATTAATGGGTTATTGGCAGAAACCTATAATTAACATCAGATTTTTATTAGGATTTTTCTAATTAATACCAGATTATTAGGATTTTTTGATGGTCCTTAAAGGGTTAAAGGTGAGTTAAATATATATATCCATGTCTCAGATGGAAAACGAGTTGATTTTTGCCATTAATGTTAACACTATACAGGGTGCGTTGGATAAATTGTCATCTAAATTATGCAGAAATGAAAATAACACTGACATTTCATTTTAACAGATATTTACCAAAATTACACAAATAGTAAATTTATTCAATAAAATCACCATTGGCTTCAACCACTGCCTCCAGACGACTTCTGAATCTCCTGCAACTCTTCTGGATGGTCTCCTTGTTTAAGTTGGTGAATGCTGCCATAATCCTTGCCCTCAGTTCATTTTTGGTGTTACAAGGAGTCTTTTTGGTCTCTCACTCAACTGCATCCGACACATAATAATCAAAGGGGTTGCAGTCTGGGGAGTTATTTGGCCAGATGTAAGGGGTGATGTGGTTGCAGAAATTGTATGACAGCCATGACTGTGTTCTCCTGCTTGTGTGGCATGGTGCATAGTCCTGTTACCAGATATAGGGTCTTCCAGCAGCCACCCTCTTGACCCAGGGCAGCACTACCTTCTCAAGGCACTTGATGTAAGCTTCCATGTCAAGTCTGGGGCCCAGTGGGAAGATGAATGGAGGCATAACATTGCCATCACTAGCGATCACTCCAAACATGTTTGTAATCAACTCTTTCTGAATCCTCTGCACTGTCCACAGATTAACACTCTGAAATGTTCGTATTGGAACTTCCATTGCAAATGTCAAGCTGTACAACATGCAGTTTTCAAATTTATGGCGGAGGGAATTGCATCATGGTGCACTTTCCTCAGAGACAGTGCCCTACTGACCCCATTGTACTGCACAGTCAACAAAATATGAACAATGCGCATGTGCAAAATTAAAAATATAAAATGGTGACAATTTATCGATCGCACCCCCCGTATGTTCAGATAGATTGAGATTTGTTCAAAATGGCGACAATTTATCCATCGCACCCCGTATGTTTAGATAGATTTAGATTTGTTCAAAATGGCGACAATTTATCCATCGCACCCCGCATGTTTAGATTTAGAGGTGTTCAAAATGGCGACAATTTATCCATCGCACCCCCGTATGTTTATATAGATGTAGATTTGTTCAAAGTGGCGACAATTTATCCATCGCACCCCGTATGTTTAGATAGATGTAGATTTGTTCATTTTTTGTTTTGCTGGTTACTCTTTTCTTTTCTTTTCTTCTTCTGATTCCCTATTTCTTTACTTTTATTTTACTCTTTTTCTTCCTCTTTCTTTCTTTGTCTCTACTGACTGACCATTTTTTATTTTCTTCCTCTATTTCTCTCTTTTTACAGAGTGGCTGTAATGCAGTCAGCTGGGCCAATGCTATTGCTCCAAGTTCCTTAGTCGAACAGAGTGGACGGCAGTTAGTGATTAAACGATTCGTGTCCGGCGGTTGTGATAATTTGGTAAAAATTTGGAAGTAAGTTGACTTGATTTATTTTTTTTTTCCCGCTTTTAATTGATTGCTGATGAGCATTCGGATTGATTTTTTTTATTATTAATCAATAAAGTTGGTGTTACTAATTTTGGGAATGTCAATTTCTTATTGATCTAGACCTTTGTGAAAACTAGGCATCTGTGCATGCAAATAGAAGGAAAAAAAAAAATATGTAAAAATACCCTGGTAAATAATGTTTTCATCATATTGGTATTAATAATGAAATCAGCTGAGGCTATAAAAATATTTGAAAATATCAAATGTGATTTTTATTTTTCTTTATTTACAGATTGTAAATTGTAATTAAAAAATTATCAAAGGGAGCAGTATTTTACTCTATTTTCATTTTTTTTAAAAAAAATTTCAAAGTAAAATATCTATACAAAGCTTCTGTTTATATACTTGTATTATTTCAAACTATTGCCCACATCTAGGTTGATAAAGATGTTATTATAAGTACAATGTTTCAACCAAGTACCCTCTGGTCATCCTCAGGCATCCATTGTTAGGCTGATATGGGATATCTGTTGATTATTGGGCTATTTTGACCTTGTGATACTGGTTATTGTTCATTCCTGCTGAACTGGTGATTCATTACCTGATCCAAGGATTGAAATCACGACCACTAGATGACATTAACTCATGTATAACCAACTCTGATATTCACTATACCATAATCTTGAAGGACATTTGTTATATCAGAATAAAGTATCGTTGCCGACACTTGAGTTTGAACATAGATCACCAGTGAGTAAACACGGGCAATCCCATTATTGAATTAAGTGGACCAGGTGACCATAGAGGAAATGCATATATGGGAGATAGCATGTGTCTAAAGGATCGCTATTTCTAGTCTATCCTCTATTACTATTCAAATCACTATTTCTACTCTATCCTCTATTACTATATGGACCGCTATTCTCTACTCTATCCATTATACTATTTCTATATTCGGATTACGATTTGAGCAAGTATTATCGAGCAAGTACTATTAGTGCAAAATTATTCGGAGGTGTCTGACACCAGCATCATTCAATGGTATGATATAAGTTGTATTTGAAATTCCAAAGTCTCTACTACAATGAGCATTACGAAAGTGACAATGAGTATTCTTTGGCATCACAAAAGTGGCAACAAATGTTCATTGACATCACAAAAACACTAATGGTGTATTTTTGGAGCCTTTTATTTTCAATGTCAGATGGTTTTTGACATTTGGTTATGATAGTGGGTTCATACTGCTTTTCATGATTTAGTATTTCATTTTTGAGATGAGTAATTGTCAGTATACTTACATTATTTTGAATTATTGAACAATAATTCAAAATAAGAACTTGGTTGATATAGATCAAGATAATAATGATTCAAAATAATACAAGTATATTGATATTTACACATCTCAGAAATGAAATACTAAACCCTGTGTTTGTTTTTAGAAATGTAAATATAAGTTAATTATACAGGGACTTTACCCTAACCATTTTATTTTGTGTTAGTTTAAACCAGCGTTTCTCAACTAGTGCCTGAGTACACTAATGCTGCCTGAAAGGTAGCCAGATTAAAAGAAGACTAATTTATGAATTATTTTTATGTGTAAAAAAAAAAAATCTTTATTTTTAAAAAGCTAGAGACACCAAGCACATGGTCAAGTCTTTGACATTTGAAATTTTAAACTGGATGCTAAATTCCTTAATCTTTAAGAAGGGGGAGATAATCCTTTTCTTTTTGCCTTCCTCAATCAGTCATTATTGGCCTCTATGAAAAAAAAGATTCTTCATAAATCTCTTTAAATAAAAACTGTACTACTCATCTTCTTTTGGGATGCTAAACTAAAATTTCATCTTTTCAAATTTTATGACTCATTTTAAATTACTAAAATTCTAAGTGTGCTGCAGACTTTTAGTTATTCTACAAGAGCGCCACAAAGTAAAAATGATTGAGAAACCCTGGTTTAAACTGACGCCATGTTTTTGCCCATTTATTGTGTATGTACATGTTTTTATTTATGGTCTATAATGCTGTTGCCATTTCAACTTTCCTATATAGCTGTGAAACCTTAACTCTATATTGTTGCAACATCCAAAAATTAGGCAGCTTTTACCAACTACAGTTTTGTTCAATCTTGATTATCAAATGGAAATACTATATTGAAGTCCTGGAAACAGCCAACAGTCAAAGCATTGAATCACTGATCATGAAACACTGTCTTTGATGGTCAGAACATGTAGCAAGAATGGAAAAGTCAAAGTTTCTACATGAACTCTTATTCAGCTAGCTCACTTCCGGGAAAAGATCATGGAGCTGCCCTCTTTGAAGATATAAGGATCAACTGAAAACGGAACTGAAAGCCAGTGGACTTTACCCTAAATCATTTGAAACTGAAACCAGAGAGTTGTAGCAATGGCCAGTGTTCCATGACCACCAGAACCAAAAACAGCAGAAGAGAAAAGGAAGAAGTCAAACAAGAGAAAAACATGCAGTCAATACTATTGACTCTTCCATGTAAGAATTGGTCTATTTAATCATCAATGCCATCATCATAAAGGAAGCAATCAGCAAGGAAGAAATTAAATTCTTAGATATGAGATAAAGCCGGTGATTTTTTTTTGATATTACAGAATTGTGGAGTTATTCATCAATGTGTTTCTTAAGATAGAAATCAGAAATATCAACTGGAATTTCAATGAATCACAATGTCCTTTTTTTTTTTCCTCTCTTTATTGCTCAAATCCCTATTTTCATATTTCAGTATTAAAATGATTGGATACAATTATGGATAGTTGCAATTGGGCAAATATTAACCTAATAGATACCCATATCGATTTTGTTTTGCTGATTACTCTTTTCTTTTTTTCTACTTCTGATTCCTTATTTGTTTACTTTTATTGACTCTTTTTTTTTTTCTTCCATTGTCTTTTTCTCACTCTTTCTTTCTTTTTCTCTCCTGACTGACCATTTAAGACCATATCTAAGAGTCTCTCCTATTTTACATTTCATATTCCATAATTATGGAATTAAGTGAAATATAATTATTCCTAGTCTCTGCTATTCGGTTAAGCTTTAGCCTACAAAATGAAGTCAATTTCATTTATAACACTAATGGCCAACAGGCAGCTCATGTGGCTCGTTTAAATTTAGTGTGCAGCTTGTGGAAATATGTTGGCTGAGTCCTTTTTTTTCTTTCTTTCTTTCTTTCTTGTCCTTTTCTTTCTTTCTTTCTTTCTTTCTTTCTTTCTTTCTTGTCCTTTTCTTTCTTTCTTTCTTTCTTGTCCTTTTCTTTCTTTCTTTCTTTCTTGTCCTTTTCTTTCTTTCTTTCTTTCTTTCTTTCTTTCTTGTCCTTTTCTTTCTTTCTTTCTTGTCCTTTTCTTTCTTTCTTTCTTGTCCTTTTCTTTCTTTCTTTCTTGTCCTTTTCTTTCTTTCTTTCTTGTCCTTTTCTTTCTTTCTTTCTTGTCCTTTTTCTTTCTTTCTTTCTTGTCCTTTTCTTTCTTTCTTTCTTGTCCTTTTCTTTCTCGTCCTTTTCTTGTCCTTTTCTTTCTCGTCCTTTTCTTGTCCTTTTCTTTCTCGTCCTTTTCTTGTCCTTTTCTTTCTTTCTCGTCCTTTTCTTGTCCTTTTCTTTCTTTCTCGTCCTTTTCTTGTCCTTTTCTTTCTTTCTCGTCCTTTTCTTGTCCTTTTCTTTTTTCTTTCTTTTTCGCCCTTTTCTTTTCTCGTCCTTTTTTCTTTTTTTTCTTTTTCGTTTTTTTTCGTCCTTTTCTTTCTTTTTCTCGTTCTTTTCTTGTCCTTTTCTTTTCTTTTCGTTTCTTTTTTCCCTTTTTTTCTTTTCTCGTCCTTTTCTTTCTTTCTCGTCCTTTTCTTTCTTTCTCGTCCTTTTCTTTCTTTCTCGTTCTTTTCTCGTCCTTTTCTCGTCCTTTTCTTTCTTTCTCATTCTTTTCTCGTCCTTTTCTTTCTTTCTCGTTCTTTTCTTTATTAATGTCATATCATTACAGGACAAAAGCAGTCATAACTCTTAAAAGCAGTAGGACTGTTAAGAAAAAAAAAGCTGATGACTATACAAAATATTGAAAATAAATATATGACCATGAAATTATTGATTGAGGCATATTTTGAACTTGTTAGTCAATAAATCATATTGTTTGAGACAAGGACATAACAGACATTTGACTAAGCCAATTGGGGTAATAAAATTTCCAGTTCCTTTATTACTAACATCATGGGAAAATGTATTTCATTTTTATTATTATTATTTTATCTATTCATTTCATTTCATTTTCCACATGACTATTTTTTTTGTCAGCATTAAATAACCCATTGAGGATGATATGCCATAAAACAGAAATAAACCAAACTAAAAGACAGAGGTGGAGAGTGAACCAGATGATAGACAAACCTATCTACTCTTGTTAGTTACCCTTCTTTTCCCCGCAAGATCATCTATGCTGTCAGCAAAGCAAAGGATGTTTGTGATGTTGTAACCTCTGATGTTGACTGTGTTCCTCAATGTACTGTGACCAAAATGTTTTGGTTGCATTAACTAAGCTGAAAAATTCAGACAGAAATGAGTCGAATGTCAGCTGGTATGACCAAAATATAAGAATAAAAACCAAACGAGGATATTAGTTTGAAGAGATTAATGTATAAGTAGTAGTACTGGTGAAAATTTTCTGTTTTGCTATTTGAATCTTCTGATGAATCCTAATTCTTCTAAATTCTACAACTAAAGATCTTTCATTAAGATGGATTATATATAAGGGTGTTTCATTAAGGCGGATCAAAATCAGCAGTAAATAAATCAGTGTTATTGGTGAAAATTTATTTATTTCTCTATTGAATCATGTTATTTAAGTCTCATAGCAATTATGCGTGAAAAATAATATCACCCAAATGGCCACCAAATCTAAAAGAAAAAGAAAAAAATCATTAGATGCTTAAACTTAATTCACATTAAAATCGATCCAAGTTATTGGAACCCCCTTTATAAAATACCTGTAGAAATTCCCCTCTTGCATGGTTAAATATTTGAGCTGAACAATGTTAACCCAATATTGCAATAGCAATCATAAATATGAGTGCAGACCATTATTTAAAGATGCAAGTATTTCCATTTCAATGAAGCAGAGATTAAACACTTGAGAGTATTATTACCTCTTTCTTTTTCTCACTGAAACCAAAGTGTCTCTGATATGTCTTTTTCACCTTTACTCATGATCAAAATGGAATAGTCCATTATTTATTAGGTATTGGTGGTGGGGGGGTAACTTAATGTACTAACTAAATCAGGAATAAAGGAACAAGCAGAATTAACAAGACTAGCCAATTTTATTTTATTTATGATAACTGGAATTTTGGTGATTACCTTACTCAGTTTCTGTTTGCAATTTTCATGGTCGACTTCTCTTTTCTGTTTTTTTTAGCTGGAATCAAAGTGTAGTATCTGTTCTTATCAGCTTAATCTGATTCTCTCTTCCCACTTCTATCTTCCATTCTTTCTTTCTTTCATTTTCTCACTGAAACCAAGTAGTGTCTTTTCCCCTCTTTCCATGCAATCAAAACGGAATAGTCTATTTGTTGGTACCAATCTGTAGTGAGAATGACTACAAAATTCTTTCCCCTCTGCAATTTATAGACAGAAGCACACAAATGCATGCTGGGATTCTTTCCTAGCCATTAAAATAGGCTAGTTCTTTATTTCAATCCCAGTCTTGTCTTGAAGTCAGAATGCTATGTTCATTTATCCGAACTTGCTCTTGTGTGTCAACCCCAATTCTTAGTTTGTGTGCTTTTTGCCTTATTACTGTTGCTTTGCCTTATTACTGTTAATTTGCCTTGCATATATTGTTTGCTTGCTTTATTTTACTTTTTGCCATGTTCTTTTTTTTATTGTTTATTACAAACTTTTTCAAATCTGTTTGTTGGGCAGTTCTGCCATTTATTTACATTTAACTATGGCCACTCATTCTACACCATTATTTATGAGCAATTGGCAGGGCGTAGTGGTCATGAAAAATAACAAAGGTAGGAACAAGCACAATGATAATAGGATAATTGCCTTGGAATGATTTTACAATTATGAAAAAAGAAAAATTTAGTTTAAGTCGTTCTGCAGATGTAGAAGTAACAATGATTGGCCAATGTTGTAAACAAATTGTTTCAATTGCTGTATTAATTTATTTTCAGAGAATCTGAAGATGGTCAATGGGTGGCTGAACATAAGCTGGAAGGTCATAATGATTGGGTCAGAGATGTTGCATGGGCCCCCTCCATTGGACTGCCAAAAAGCATTATTGCCAGTTGTTCACAGGTTAGTTCAATGAAAATGATTTTTATTAATTGACTGAATCCATTAATAAATTCTGCACAGTTGATTTGGGTTACTACAATACTAGCAATTTGGGTTAATTATTATTTGGGTGGGGGTGGCTAGAGATTGATTGATATTTTTGAAGTAAAAATAAGTCAGTCTTTCTTCAAGGTTTTATCATTGGCAAAACATTTTGTCTTAATGTTTACTAGAATACAGTTTTATTTTCTTTTTTCAATATTTTTTTTTCTTAATCAATTTCACCCCAAGCAAGCCACTGAGACACATGGTTTACTGAGTATTGAACAATTAGAAAACAGAGACATTAAGTTTCATGAGAATTGGAAGTGTGTGATTAAATATAAATAGTTTGCATTTTTTCTATTTTATTCCAATTTGTGGGGGGTCATTTTATCCCATGCAAGGCAGTAAAGTCACTAAGATGCAAGGGATTACTGAGTTACTGAGTATGAAAGAATAAGAAAAAAGAGAAACATTATTAAGGAGTGATAAACAATAATCAAGAAGACAGTAGTTAACGATTGACATTGCATTTAAATTTTTGAAGATCAAAGTTGGCTGAGAAGCATGGAACCAGAAGAGAGTTCCTCAAGCAAGAAGTGCAATAGAAAAAACTGTTAGCATAGAATTTATGGTTGCATCTAGCCAACTCGATTGTGAATTGATAAGACCTTGCCGCCAATTGGGTACAATATTTAAATTCAAAAACTCTAGGTACCATGGTGAAGAGTTCATCTGATTAATTACCATGAAAGAATTTATAGAACAGGTACAGGTTACATTATGGTGGTGGGAATGTAACTGAAACCGAGATGCCAGATCAGGGCCAATAATATTGCTGATTCTTCTTTGGATTTTATCAGGGTTCTCTTGATATATAGTGGGAACTCCAGGCAATATGTGGCAGCAATACTCTAAGCATGGATGAATGGTAGACTTGTAGAGAAAAAATTGTCTAGCATGACACAGAGAACAAGCTTTCTTAGTAGGTGACCTAGCATTGTATTCAATATAGTCTTTCCGCTTCATATCAGCCAAGAATATTAGCCCGAGGGAGTGCAATGAGCAAATTATTTTTCTGATACCCCTCTAATTTTTTTCTTCTAAGACACTAATTTTATTCTAACCTAGAATTGTTTTTTTTTTTGTTTTTTTTTAACACATAGGTTGAGAAATGCTTGTTTATGCAGTTACATTAAATTATTTTTTCATAGACCTTTAATCACTAGAAACAAAATCAACAAACCCAGTTTGAATTCCAGTTGTGACTTGCATTCAATTTTTTCACCAAAATGAAACTGCTCTCTTTTAATTGCCTGAGAGAACCCCTTTTTACTTTCCATCAGTATGGCTGATGCTAACCCCCAGAAGAGTTACTCATTGCACCTTATTGGTCTAATGTTTTCAGCTGACATGAAGTGGAAAGATTATATTGAATCAGTTGCTAAGTCCGCAGCTAGGAAAGTTGGTTTACCGTGTCAGGCTAGACAGTTTTTCTTGAATGAATCTATCTTACATATTTATAAGTCTACAATTCATCTATGCTTTAAATATTGCTGCCACATGTGGTCTACTGCTCATGCTTTATACTTAGAGATTCTTGATAAAATCCAAAGAAGAATCTGCAATGTTATTAGTCCTGACCTGGCATCTCAGCTTCAGTGACTTTCTCACCTCCGGAGCTTACTAATTTATAAGTCTACCATTCGTCTATTCATTGAACATTGCTGCTAATAAAAGTTCAATCTTTGCATTTGAATATTGCTATCACATCTGATCTGGTGCTTCTGCTATATATTTAGAGATTCTTGATAGAATCCAAAGAAGAATCTGCAATGTTATTTGTCCTGACCTGGCATCTCAGCTTTAGTCACTTTCTCACCTACGGAGCTTACTAATTTATAAGTCTACCATTCGTCTATTCTTTGAACATTGCTGCTAATAAAAGTTCAATCTTTGCATTTGAATATTGCTATCACATCTGATCTGATGCTTCTGCTATATATTTAGAGATTCTTGATAGAATCCCAAAAAGTATCTGCAATGTTATTGGTCCTGACCTGGCATCTCTGCTTCAGTCACTTCCCCACCATCATAAAGTTGCTTCCCTGTGCCTTTTCTATAAATACTTTCACAGTAATTGTTCTAATGAACTGTCCTCTATGGTATGTAGACTTTATGAATTTAAGTGCAGTACTAGATTGGCAGCAAGGTCTCATTAATTTACAGCTCAAATGACTAGATGAAACTGTAAGTTCTATGCTAATAGTTTCTTCTATCACACGTCTTGCTTGTGGAACTCTCTTTTTGCTTCCCAGTCAATTTTGCATTTAAATTTTTGAAGATCAATGTTAATCATTATCTTCTGTCTTACAACCCAAACCTGAAGGAAAAACACACGGACAATGTGAAAAGAAGATACAATGGCCAAAATGGAAACAGAAGTTTGAAATGGAACACACCAAGATAAGCTTTAGTGACATCAGCAAACAAAATCATCCCAAAGGAGGATGGACAAAGAAGAAAAAAAATGAATGGATCACAGATGAGTTTCTTGACATGATGCAAAGGAAACTGAAAACAATGCAAAGACATAGAACGGAATACAGAAAACTACACAATGAAATAAAGAACAAATGCAAGTGGGCTTAAGAGTATTGGCTCGATGAAAAATGTGCAGAAATAGAGAGAATGAATATCACAGATAAATGAGATACATTTGAAAAAATAAGAGAACTAACAGGACAGAACACATGCTTATCAACAGGCTGTATAAAATCCAATGACAGAACGCTCATATTAGAGAAAGAAAAAATTCTTCAGTGCTGGAATGAATATATTGGAGATCTCTTACACAATGGAAGGGGACAACTGGCAATACACAGAAATATTGAAGGACCAGAAATACTAAAAACCGAAGTGGAAGCTGCACTGGCCAAATTGAACAGAAACAAAGTGGCAGGGCCAGACGGAATTGTAATAGAGATGCTGGTAGCCTTAGATAATTTCTGCATGGACAAGATTACAGAAATAATAAATGAAATTTACAGCAGTGGTGATATACTGCAAGACGTAAGCAGATCTATTTTCATAGTTCTGCCTAATAAACCAAGCACAAATGAATGTGAACTCCACCGAACAATCAGCCTAATGAGCGATGCAACAAAACTCATCATCCAAATTCTGATGAATAGAGTGCACAGTAAAATTAGGCTGGAGGTAAGAGACGGACAGTATGGGTTTGGTAAAGACACTGGAACAAAGAATGCAATATTTATGATCAGAATGTTATCAGAAAGAGCAATACAAATGCAGAAGAATGTGTACCTGTGTTTTATATGCAAAGGTGTTTGACAAAGTACACCACAAAGATCTGTTAGAACTGCTCAGCAACCTTGACATATTTGAGAAAGACATTAGAATAATCAAAAATCTCTATTGGCAGCAAACCACCAGCATATGGATAAAAAAATGAGTTCAGCAGATATACAAAAAAAGAAACGGGCATAAGGCAAGGATGTGTCTTCTCACCAGATTTATTCAATTTATATAGTGAAACGATTCTGAAAGAACTGGAAATACTACGAAGATTCATCATTGGCAACCACAATCTTAACAACGTAAGATATACAAAAGGATACAGTGCTGATAGCAGACATGGAAAGGAAACTACAAAACCTCCTTCAGAAGGTAGCGAAGGAGAGCGAGAAGAAAGGACTAAGCATAAACTACAAAAAGACAGACTGCATGGTCATCAGCATAAAGATGAGCCCAAAATGTGATTTACAGGTTGGAGACGCTAAAATCAAGCAGGTACAGAAATTTAAATACTTGGGAAGTGTTCTGACAGGGGATGGAAAGTGTGACACTGAGATCCGAAGACACATTCCAAAAGCTAAGCAGTATATTACAAGATAGGAAAGTTTCATTGTCAGCAAAGAAAAGAGTACTGAACTGTTATGTAATATCTCTCTCAAATGCTGGACAATTTCCTTGAAGATAAAGAAGAGACTCGTACCAGAAATATCGTTCTACAAAAGGATGCTAATAATACCATGGGCTGAACATTTGAGTAATGACAAGGTTTTGGAGAAAATGGTTAAGTATAACATCAGGAAGAGACAGCTGAAATTTTTGGGATATGTAATGAGGAAGAAAGGCTTGGAAAATCTAATACTCACAGAATGGAAATAGGGACAGGGGAAATTGGTGTGTGACATACTCAATAGGCTTAAGTAAGTGGATGGCAGAATGGGGTCTGGGAGAAGTAGCGAGACGATAAATCTTATTATGAGCTACAAGGGACAGGAAGATGTGGAGGGCCATGATTGCCTATCCCCTGAAGGGACACAGCACATGAAGAAGAAATATTAGTCAATGTATTTGAATCTATAAGCAAGTACTTGGCTCTAGGGTAAGTTAATATTGATCACTTATTTTTGAGTCTATAAGTATTTACTTGGTGCTAAATATTGGTCAATGTATTTGAGTCTATAATGCGTTTACTTAGTCTAGGGATACATAAATATTAGTCATTTATATTTGAATATATAAGTAGTTACTTGATTTCGAGTAAGATGTCTGATCAGAAAGTATCAGGATTGGTGTTATAAACAACATATATCAATTCGTCATTTAATCTCCTTCAAAGTAGTCTCCTTCTGAAGCCATACATTTTAGCATCGTTTCCATTGATGAACACATTCCTGGAACTCCTTTTTTTGTTCTTTTATTGTCCACTCTCCTTAATAGTATATTCTTCTCATATTCTCTCACACTCAGTAAACCTTTATGTCTTAGTGGCTTTATTGCTTTGCTTGGGGTGAAATGATAAACTTTTTTTCTTTTTTTTTTCACTTTTTTAAAATATGATATGAACAAATTATACATTAAAAAAAAATTATTAATCGGTTAAAATTGTTTAAAAATGGTTTTAAATATATTAATAATCTGGACATTTTTATAATCTTGGTTATTTTTTTTTTTTTTTTTTTTGCTTCAAGGATTGTTCAGTTATTATCTGGACCAATGATGGCACCAACAACACATGGACATCAACAATTTTGTACCAATTTAAAGATGTTGTCTGGCATGTTAGCTGGTCTGTGACTGGCAATATTCTTGCAGTGTCTGGTGGTGACAACAAGGTAAATTCTCTTTTCTTCATGTTCCTTTTTTTTTTTTTTTTTTTTTTTTTTTAAAGAAAAAGAAAAAAAACGTTTCTAATTGCCTGATTTGGTCGAGTGTTGGGAAACTTGGATTTACTTTGACGGGAAAATTGAAATTATTTTAAATTACTGAAGAACGCAATTTTAAGAAATATTTCTATGGATTGAGTTGAAGCAGCTTTTCCAGCACCATCTTTTGTATAGCACTAGTGAAAGTGTCTTTTGAAATTTACTTAGCTTTTTATTGTTTGAACAATCAATCAACTGTAGTACACAATTTTTTTTTTTTTTTTTTTTTTTTTAAGCAACTCGACTCAAATTTGACTAAATCTTAAACAACACAACAGAGAAAAGGAAAAAGAGTATAAAATAAAACGAAAATTACCTGCAAGATTAAATGCATAAAGCAATTTCTAAAGAATCAATTGATTTTATTTTTTAATCTGACATATTTTTATAACTTCAAGCATTTTAGTGGATACCTGTATTTGAAAAGATTTACATACTGTTTAATAAACAAATGAAGCATCTACTCAGATACAGGTATCCACTAAAAATAATGTTTGAAGTAAAATATTGTCCGGTACACATTCATCCCTGGTCTTTTGAACAGGAGTAGAGGTTCATCCCTTGTTTCCTGTTTAGGATTGGGTTTCCAGGTCCTTCTAAAGTCTTCTTCAACTTTATACTTCTAACGTCTCTGCCTGAACTCTGAAATTTGTTTCACTTTTTTTTTTTTTTTTTTTTTTTTTTTTTTCTGGAGTAGATAGATTCACCTATCGTCCGGTTCATACTCCTCCCTGGTCTTTTGAACTAGAGTAGAGGCTCATCCCTTGTTTCCTGTTTAGGGTTGGATTTCTGGTCCCTTGCAAAGTCAACTTCAATTCTGTACTTTTAATGTCTCCACCTGAACTCTGAACTTTTATTTGCTAATTAAATCTTGACTTCTTCAAGTTTAGAATTAGTTGTTTATCTTTTCTGTTATCTTTCCCTTTCTTACACTAATACAACTCCACATCTAATCTCTACCTTGAGGGGCCCTGGGGCCTTGTATTGGGTGAACATTAGTTTAAAAAAAAAAATATAAAAAAAATATATGTAAATAAAAATTTATTTTGTGCTCATATTTATCTGTAAATAAAGTTTTCAATAAATCTAAAAAGTAATTAAATTAACCTGAAACTTAAACAGAAATGAAGTTTTGAAAGTGTACTTGATCTGGAATTTTTATTTTATTTATTTATTTATTTATTTTTTTTTTTTTAAAATCATTTCACCTCAAGGAAGGTGATAATGCCACTAAGATGCAAGGGGGATACTGAGAGTGAAAGAAAAGTAAATGACTTTAAAATGAACCAGAAATCAAATCCTAAACAAGAAACAAAGGATAAACCTCTACCCTTGTTCAAAAGACCAGGGAGGAGTGTCTTTTGAATAGGTGTAAAGGATATCCCAAATGTTACTTCACTGTTACTCTATTTTATATGCATACTGCATTTTCTTCTGTATAACATGATTTCAGTATATGACGACAGTGTGTTTCAGAAGCTGAAAACCAGGAATAGATTACATCCTTGGGTATAATACAACTATTTAATATTGCTATTTCTATGTAAATTATTTTTGAAAAGTTATATCATGTTATCCATTAAAATCTAAATATCATACAGATATTTCTCTAAAATATTTAATTTTTCATGATATTAAAGAATAGAAATGAACCAAACGTTTAGCCATTGCATGTTTCTTCTCCTAATCGTCTTTTCTAAACGTATTTTCAAATGTTAGGGGGAGGTGCTAACCAGACATACCCAGTAATACATTGTAAGATGTTAATTAATCTATCATACTTTTTCTGTTTGATATGACTTTATTATGTTTCTATATATTAATAAACTACAAAAAGGAAAAATATTGTCTTTTATTAAGAATGAAGAGGAAAAAAATTTATAAAAAAAAAAAGAATCAAAAGAGAAAAAAAACTTGTGAAACTGTTCTAATTATAAACGTGTCAACAAACGGAGGAAAAGGAAACAAATTCACAGCATTTTTCAAAAACTTGATAAATGACATAATTCATACAGTAGTTCGGACTTTATCATAATATTAATGTTATGAAAACATGACAGATCTTGTGTATTTCGTTTATTCATCAATTTTGGTGCATTTCCTGTCTTTGAGATGAAAGATGTTCATTTACGCTGATTTCAAAAGAAAAAATATTGCCGACTTATGAAATACCTTTCGTAAACAATTGTCATCAATACCTGCCTACTTTGTGCTTTATTGTCTATCGTGCTAAGTGTATTTACAATCTTCTTGTTTCAAATAAGAGGTTTTTATCCTGAGCAAAAATTTCAGAAAATGTGTATTTTGGTATAATTCATCTCCCCCTTCTTTTTTTGCCTTTAACTATCCTTCAAAATTATATTATGCACAAGAAAATACATTAAATATATTTTACAGTTGTTCTTCAACCTTCATCTTCATTTTAGTTTTAATTTTTAATTACTGGCACTGTAAGGAAACGGTCTCTACAATTGACATATTCTCCAAACTTGTAACCATTCAGACAAATACTTGTTTTGTGCCATTGAAAACCATTGGGTCAGTGATTTGAAGAAGTTCAAGGCATCAGAAAATTTCTTAAATAATTAAATGAGTGAAAACCAAAATCCTTTTATTAAAATTTAAGGCGAATTACTTTGACTGAATAATGATGCTATGAATTTATATGAATCAACTTAGTCAGAAGATGCAGGAAACTTTTGCATATGAAATATAATTTAGTGAATTAAATAATAAAATTTATTTTCCCATATCATTTTATGCAAGGGGAAAATAATTTAGTGACTGAATAATGATGTAAATGAATTAATATGACTAAAAGAAAAAAAAAAAAACCTAACCATAAACCAGAAAATATTTTGTGTCAACCGAAGAACTGATTAAAATTACTCATTTAAAATAATCAAAATTTTATGGATATGTCCTGGCAATGGGAGAAAAATAAACATGTGACATCTAAAAAAACAAAAAAAAAAACATTGAAATCACAAGAACATGAAATATAAAAATCAAAACAACTCCATATTATTTCTCTTTCAAAATTTCAGATGACATTAAATATGTTAAATTTATGAAAGTTTTCTTACTTGTTCTTTATTTAAACATTATATATATATATATATATATATATATATATATATATATATATATATATATATATATATATTTTCATTCATAATAAAGCGATTAATATGCATTCTAATTTTTCTTATCAGGTGACATTATGGAAGGAGTCATTAGCAGGAACCTGGGTGTGTATCAGTGATGTCGCAAAAGGTCAAGGCCAATTGAGAACTGCTAGTTGAAAATAAAAATCAAGGAAACTAATTGAAAAAATATTCTATGACACAGCAACATTTTAAAATTAAAGCAAGCAACTAATATATATATATATATATATATATATATATATATATATATATATAATTTTCATATTGCATTCTTACTATTGGATGTATTCATTTCTAATCATCAATTTTTTTTTTTTTTTTTTTTTTTCTTTTTACCATTTAAGAAATCTTCCTTATAGGAAACAAGTTTGCAAGAAAGACACTGTGTACTGCCAATTTTTCTTATGCTCTTTCATAGAACCAAAGAATAAAATATGAAATTAATTTTTTTTTTCATCTGTTCAATGAAAAATCCTAGTCCAAAATGAATAATGCTTGACAATGCTTCATCTAATGAAAATTGCAGATAATATTACTACTACTAATACTACTAGTGGAAATAAAGCAATTGAAATGAAGATGAAAGAAATCCTAGTCCAAAATGAATAATGCTTTGACAATGCTTCATCTAATGAAAATTGCAGATAATATTACTACTACTAATACTACTAGTGGAAATAAAGCAATTGAAATGAAGATGAAAGAAACCTAGTCCAAAATGAATAATGCTTTGACAATGTTTCATCTAATGAAAATTGCAGCTAATATTACTACTACTAATACTACTAGTGGAAATAAAGCAATTGAAATGAAGATGAAAGAAATCCTAGTCCAAAATGAATAATGCTTGACAATGCTTCATCTAATGAAAATTTCAGATAATATTACTACTACTAATACTACTAGTGGAAATAAAGCAATTGAAATGAAGATGAAAGAAATCCTAGTCCAAAATGAATAATGCTTGACAATGCTTCATCTAATCCAAATTGCAGATAATATTACTACTACTAATACTACTAGTGGAAATAAAGCAATTGAAATGAAGATGAAAGAAATCCTAGTCCAAAATGAATAATGCTTGACAATGCTTCATCTAATCCAAATTTCAGATAATATTACTACTACTAATACTACTAGTGGAAATAAAGCAATTGAAATGAAGATGAAAGAAATCCTAGTCCAAAATGAATAATGCTTGACAATGCTTCATCTAATGAAAATTGCAGATAATATTACTACTACTAATACTACTAGTGGAAATAAAGCAATTGAAATGAAGATGAAAGAAACCTAGTCCAAAATGAATAATGCTTGACAATGTACTTCATCTAATGAAAATTGCAGATAATATTACTACTACTAATACTACTAGTGGAAATAAAGCAATTGAAATGAAGATGAAAGAAATCCTAGTCCAAAATGAATAATGCTTGACAATGCTTCATCTAATGAAAATTTCAGATAATATTACTACTACTAATACTACTCGTGGAAATAAAGCAATTGAAATGAAGATGAAAGAAATCCTAGTCCAAAATGAATAATGCTTGACAATGCTTCATCTCATCAAAATTGCAGACAATATTACTACTATGAGGATTAAACTTTGCCTTTTCTTCTTTAATCACTAAGTCCAACAATCTTTCAAGGATAAAGGATATAAATTAATCTCTTTGAGTGTTGGGCAATCTCTGCATTGATGAGATTTGAAGCTACAGAAATGTTGTTCTACAGAAGGATGCTGAGAATAGCATGAACTGAACATGTAAGCATTGACAAAGTTCTAGATGCAATGGCAAGAAGAACACTTATATTTAAAATCAGAGATCATTGAAATTTCAAGTGAACATAATGAGGAAAGAGGACTAGGAAAATTTGATACTCACAGGACAGAATGAAGGCAAGAGGGACATAGGCAAACACTGCATAACTTACCTAGCAAGTTTGTGTAAATGGATGGCAGAATTAGGTTTAAGAGAGAGAACAAAAGACAAAATTTACTAAGAGCTTCAAAAGGACTGGAGAACTTTGATTGCCAAAGTCCTTAAGAGACATAACACATAGATTAAAAATGGCTTCGAACAAATTAATCCTATAAATGTTTCATCAGACCCTATAGAATGTTGCTACAAGAAACACGGTTTGACCAAATATCGCAAAACATCATTTGAAGACTTCCAACAGCAGCAACATCAAAAATGATAAGCACCTGTAACTTGAAAAGAAAATTATGATATAATCATGATATTACTTTCCACATTACCTTAAACAAAACACATGAAAGTTTAAGGAAGGAACTCCACATTAGTATTAGAAAGAGGTATATTTAATGGACTTGAGTAATCCCATTTCCTGAAAAAGTTTTAATAAAAAGATTCCATAAACTTCAACTAACAGTAACACTATCAGCTTTCAATGAATGTCAAATGTTTCCTGTATGGAAACGGCTAATCTCAACATTATCCTACTGACAAACAATGTTAAAATAAACAGCAACAACAATAAGAATGAAACTAGCAATAATGAAGAATGTGTTTCTCCAAATCTGTCTGCTACTCCATTTCTCTGCTTATTTTTTAAAGATTTTCTGGTCTTTCAAGGTAAACATTTCTTGAAGTAGGTGTTGAATTTAACAAATATACGTAGGCAGCCTTAGTAGTACCTTCTAAAAATCTAAAATAAAGACGGGAAGAAGTTGGAAAAGAAAGAACATGCTAACAAAGTATAGAAATGTTATATGCCTTCTCCCTGACCCTGAAAAAGAAATCTAGTGGATGTTACAGAAGCAGTCTTTACTCACAAGTTCAGCAGCACATCATGTTGCAAAAGGCTGCGTTTTTACTCACATATTGGGAAAACATCTTCTCTTTGTGGTGCCCTATGGAGACTAGGCTTCACTGAGTTGCCGCAAAGGGTCACATGAATGGGCAAACACGAGGCATACTAAATAGGGGAGAGAAATAAGGGTAACAAAAATGAAAAATTCTTGGATTTTTTTTTTCTGAAATTGATTGCCAAAACCTTTTAAAATAAATTTGTTATGCATTGAAAGCATTCAGAAAGAAAGTGATTATCAGCTATCAAGTGTTAATGTAAGAGTTGAGATATATATATATATATATTTCATCAAGTTTCATTAAAAACTGGCAAGGTACTGCCAGATTTTGATTTAAACTTTCATGTGTCCTTATAAGTTTCTTCTTTTCTGGATATAAATTATGTAGAAATTGTCCGAGTATTCTGCATGTCTGAGTGCTTTCAACTATACTTTTAGCCATTATCAAGGATGAATTTTATTTTTATTTTTAACTGAATTTATGCATTGTTTTATGTATCTATCTAGAGTTATAGAAATGATTTAATTTCCAAACATGGTCAGCACCTTGTGGCCATGTTCATGGTTGATATTTATATGTGTTGGCTTTTTCTTTTTTATTAATAGTGCTTTAATTATTTTTAGACTTTTTTTTTTTTTTTTTTTTACATATAGAGAAGGCTATTATATTTGTATTATCAATGAGTATATTGTGGATAGAGTTTGGTGGTTCTCCTTGTGTATTTAAATCTGTAACTCTAGATGCATACATTATCTTCAGAAAAGAAGAAAATTATAAGAACACATGAAAAATTAAATTAAAAAAATTAATCACAGTACCGTGTCAGTTGTTTTCAGTGAAACATGAATAAAAGCAGGATTGCTGCCTGAATACACAATTTTGTGAGAGTGTGACACTTAAGTAGCAACTAGAGCTGTACCTTGTTGAGAGTTGATGTTGTGGAGCATTTTTTTTGCATTGTCTTCATAGCCTAGGTATTGCATACTTTAATTTACTGTGTAGGTAGGTATTTGCTTTTTGATCTTGTGTTTTCTTTCTTAGTTTGGATTTTTTTTTTTTTTTTATAGGTCTTTTGGCAAGTGGTCTGTTGGCCACACTAACAATTTTGGAGTTTTGTGTGTGTGTGTGTGTGTGTGTGTGTGTGTGTGTATGTATGTATGTATGTATGTATGTATGTATGTATATATATATGTGTGTGTGAAGAAAAATATATACGGAAAAAACAAACAAAAATCCTTATATACAATTTATACTGTTTTAATGTTAATATGTCAACGTCGGACGTTTCGGTCTAATAAACCATCTTCAGGACATATTCATAAATTATAACATTATTTATAACAGTTTATTAGACCGAAACGTCCGACGTTGACATATTAACATTAAAGCAGTATAAATTGTATATAAGGATTTTTGTTTGTTTTTTTCCGTATATATTTTTCTTCATACTGTCGGATCTATATCCATATATTTGCTTATATATATATATATATATATATATATATATATAAAATAATATTAAAATAATGAGAAAGAACAGTAAAATTTATAATCTGTTGTTCTTAGTAATTATTTTTATTACATGAAAAGTTATACATTATTAAGTTTATGAAAAATAAAAATTTACTTAATCGAAGAAATGAAATAGCTTTTTTTGTAGATACTGTCAAATATTTTCCTTAAATAATGTTTAATTTTGAAAAAGAGATCAAAGATGAAACATACTTATTTATACTTGATCTTTGATTAATAATTTTTAAATATGAATAATTCTAATATATTTATTTGTAAAAAAAAACAAAAAAAAACGTATGGTCTATTAGTTATTAAAAAGTACAAATAGTCACTTAAATTTGTAGGAATAGACATTAAATATTAAAAATACTACTTACTCATATTCAAACGACTCTTTTTTAAAAAAATGTATAAATTAAGAGGCAAAATAAAAAATGCCAAAAACATCTTATCATTGAAAAATCCAGATGATACACGTAAAACGGATGCAATCCATGTGAGGAGACACCCCTACCACATGTTAACTTAACCAGATTTTGAAAGTAACTTATATTTTGATACATAAATTGTCTAGGAAAATGCAAACCCCAACCACCTCTTAGCAAAATGATTGAATTTCCAGTAACTTTAACAACTTAAAATTTCATGATTGTTTGTGCTTATAAACTCAGTAAATTTCTTAATAAGTTATTCGAAAAATCACTTGA